AGAGTTTCCCGATTGAGCTGGTGAGATTGATAAGCTTCGCGATACGCTTGCTCAAGCAGCTCTGGAATGCGTTGTGTGAGGCAAGGCGCTATAACTGCCATGGCCGATTTAGCATTGAAGGGGAAGGTGAGGAGCCATACCACTTACCCTGGGTTGGAGTGTGAGCGCACGGTGATCTATTGTGCATATTTGAGAAACAGAGGAGTGCGCCACCGGTAGCCGTGAATTGATTTAGAAACTTCTTGTGTGAGTATCAAAGATCGGAAGAGTCGGATGTTCGACAGTGTTAGTTGAGCGCTTTTATATCTTGAGTTTTTCGTTACTAGCCTCATTTAGTTGTGCCAGCCATATTAGTTTAATGGGAACAACTCGTTGGGCCTGCACCTGTACCATACCTTTTTATACGCTGCAATAGATCCATCACTACCGCACGGTTGACTTGGCTCCACATCAAGTGCACTTCTGAATGTTATTGGAGTATACGAAAGGGAATTAATAATCGATCACAATTTATGCCACCAGGAGGTGAGCGGATCCCTCGAAAACCCATTGCAGATGTACTTCATTCACACAGTTTTCGTTCCTATCCCTTTCATTTCATTCTAGCTGGGAACTATGTCTTACTCTCACGTAATATGGATTATGGGGCTAAAGTACAACGTCGATGCACCAACGGAGGGAAAATGTTAGCTGGTTTGAAAGCGATTGTTTGCCTGCTTTTTGATCCCAGTCTATTGAGCCACCGCTTTTCTTACTAGAATCTAACTTGCCTATAATCTGCCACATCAGCCCATAGGCAGCATTAATTGCTCCCGCCCAGTAGTGGTAAATTGGGCATATAGTGTAACTCACGCCTGTAATAATTCAGTGGAGAAGCGAAAAGCTATTAACCCGTTACTGCACTACGCAATCCTGCGGGTGTCGCCAGTCACTGAAGGTAAAATACCATAGCTTCCTAGCGAAGATGTCTATGGAGAACAGAGACTGTGTACCAACCATTGCATATTCTATTGTTGTTTATTTTGCATGGAACGGCCGCATACTGACACATCCGAGTATGATGACAAAGGGAACTCACCAGAGTCTAGGTAGGAGAATCTAACGACCTGGAACTCTCGCTGGGTATGGTACAGATCAGAGGGCTCAATATACACAATTATTCCAACATGCGCCGACGGAAATCAATCTTTTCACTATCTTTCCACCCTTCTATATAAGCAGAGTAATCGCGGGTGACCACTGTGCGTGCCTTTCCCATACGCAGCTTGATATTGTGCTTCTTGAGGTATTCGTCTGCAACCTGCACCGATGTGGCGCGAAAACGTACTAGCTGCGTTTCGGACATCCACGGCGAGTTTGACATATCCTCGCTTTTAACAAACGAGGAATTTTTAT